GCAAAACTAACCTGTTTGTAATTTTTGAATTCTAACTTATTTCTTTATAACATAAATATATACAAAATGTCATATTAATGTATAAAAACGTATAAATGTATAATATGTATGTTTTCATATAAATGAACATAAGAATTTTCATTGCTGATGATGTTATACTTTTTCGTATTTTTAAAGCGAGCATTTTACATCTAAGCAATACTTGTTTTTCGTGGCAACAAACTTATCATTTATTTAAATAATCGACTGAAACAATGTGACATTTCAAATGTACAAAATATGCAATTAAGCAGCCTTTTTCATTGTTTAGACTACATTACTTTACAATTTAAATTTGGCGCATTTGTAACTCTTTGAATTTCCACTGAGGGGAGTTAGCGGAACACTAACGATCACAGTTAACGTGAATCACTATTAAAACGCCATCTTTCACGAGCGTGATCGTAATTTTGTAATCACTGTAATAAATCACTGTTAGTGATTTTGCACGCCAACTCTAGTCGCAACACTGCTCCCTCTCATCAACACGCGGACGCCCCGACCGCGGCAAATTCAACTCGGGCAGGCAACTTCAGTAGGAGTTTGTAACCTCTGAATCCGTTTCGGGTATAAACACCTCCGTTTGTAAAGGAGATAAACCAATAGACCGAAACATTTACTTGAGTGGCCTTTAACAGACAGTTAGCGCCTTGACATTCGTCCACCGTCTCACAATGGGCAAACTCCAGCTATAATGGACAACATTCAGTAACTCAGTGAATTCTGTCGTAAATTTTAAAAAAATTGGTATCTCTAGGTTGTTTTGGACATAGATTTCAAATTTTGAATCAAAATGATCGAATTCAAAATGGTTGATTCAATATGGCGGACGGAAAAATCAAAACTTAATAAATTTTTTTGAAAATTAATATACCTGAGTAACTGGGCATGCTGACTTTAAATTTCTATTCGAAATTGTGGAATTCAAAATGGCTGATCCAACCTGGCGGATTCCGAAAAATATGGACAAAAATCGATAACTCATTGAATGAAATTATTTTAATATTGGTGGTCTAATGTGTGTTTTTGGGGTCGCTTATTTAGAATATCAAATTAAAGTAATAAACTTAACCATAGTGAATCTTATATGGAAGAAATTTCACATATATGTATACAGAGTGTTCGGCCATCCTTGGAAAAATTTTAACGGGGGACTCTCAATTTGTTGATTGAAGCTTCGTTAGGAAGTTCTTAACGTTTAAAATTCCACTTGTACTGAATTTTTTTCTCAAAAATGCGCAGGAATTCGGGGGTATGTCTATTCACCAAAAATGTTAAAAAATTAACCCCCGCAACTGAAAATAATTTTTCCAAAACGATTTGAAATTTTTTTTTTCGCCGAAAAATTTGTTCACCTTCCTGAATTTTTTTCTCGAAAGTGCGCAAGATTTCGGGGGTATGTGTATTCGCCAAAAATGGTTGTATTTGATCCCAGAACCAAGAAATAATTTTTTTTTCATGGAGAAATTATTTCATAGCCCTTGATTTTTCTGAAAAATTCGTTTTTCATTTTTCATAAATTTGTTTGAAGCTGTACGAAAATTTTATCTAAGAAGTTATGGTCATTTGAATATTGAGTCATTTTTGAGGGGTATTTCTCACTTTACGGGGTCAAGGAACAACTTTTCGAATATTCTTGGAATATTTACATATTCTACTCTACAATACGCATTGTTTGCCGTTTGAAACATTAAAATCGTCCAATCCGTTCAGAAGTTATGACGTTTGAAAGATACGTATGAAATTACAGGGAAGCATTTCTGGCCTCACATTAGATTTTCGGTAAGGAACTTTTTTCTTGAAAATGCGTAGAAATTCGGGGGTATGCGTAATGACGAAAAATGATTGTAATTGACCCTTGCAACCGAAAATAATTTTTTTAGAACGATTTGAAAAATTTTTTTTTGCCGAAAGCACTTGTCCTTGACAGCACTTATCCAAATTTTTGCTCAAAAGTGGGTACCATTTCGGGGGTTTGTGTATTCACCAAAAATGATTGCTATTGACTCCTTCAACCAAAAATAATTTTTTCAGAATGATTTAAAATTTTTTAATTTAATTTTTTAATAACTTTTTAACGAAGCCTCAGTCAAGAAATTGATATTTTTGATTGACGTCTTATTTTGGCCTCTAGAATCTCCCTTTAAAATTTTTTTCTGGAGTGGCCGAACACTGTATATTAGTGATGATTTCTGGATTGTTAATATTGAACATTATCTTCAGATTAAACTGTGACTGGATTTGGTTTAATTGCTGTTTTAATTATATTTTAAAATATATGTAATTATAAGCCTTTTCACCACGACAAGGTAGATAGTCCAATATATTTCGCTCATCAAGTAATATAGAGTCCATTTTAAATATATTCATTTGTTAATAACAATTTGTTAGTAATTTAAAAATGTTATTAACACATGCAATGAACTTAATTCAAGATATTTTTTAAAAGAGATTCATATAAATACCCTTTCTTGATCCTGGGTTGTTGCGTCGTAACGTCTTGAGCGTGAAGGCATAACAATTTAGACCCAGGACAAGGGAAAACCCTGTAGTCAGTAGGTGCCGATATAAGGCCACTACGGAACAATAGCGACATTTGATCGCCAGAAAAGTTTCCAAATTTCGAAAATAGTTTATAACCTAGGCACCGTCATCCTTTGCAACGACCTCGACTTTCCTTTTCCAAAACCACCTCTTCGTCCCGATCGTCTTCTACTATCCTCCTACTTTCTTCTCCAAAATAACCATCCCACGACTTCTCCAACATCCAATTACAAAACTGTATCCTCCCATGTCTTACCATCACTCAAAATCTCCAACACCAATTAGAACTCCTCCGACCTGTAACGTTAAGAAAAAGGAGTCATCCCGTTCAGTTCGTTCCAACCATCGAACACCGACACCTACGAAAAAACGCTCCTCACAAATTACCGACTAGCTGTAACTTATAGTTTCAACGTGATTCGGTTACAGTGTGTAACCGAACAGTGTATCCGTGATACATTGACCGAACGATTACCTACGACGTTCAACATTTTTGGTCCTTCGAGCCGGATCCTGTGCTTCGAGTGCTTGATCCACTAATATCATCCAACCAGCATTCGGTGATTAGCCAACATTCTAGACGCCGTCCACGATCCTGCGTACCTTTATGCAACTTAGAACGACAGCAGCAACTAGTGCTCTTGTCGTACGCCACTCCGGGGAGCCAGCAGCCAAGACGAGGACAACCTGCCAGGAGCGCACATCGTCCTAGTGGAGCGGACTCAACCACGAGGAAGCCATCCCAATCATCCTTGGAACATCAGGGAAGGCGTAATCTCAATATCAGCACGCGTCTTCGCTGTACAGCATCCATCCGCAGCTAAGGGTATCAACGCAACGTAAGTATGCACGCTTGGTACTAATCATCAATTTCCGTTATCTATCCATCTCAATTATTTTCTCCTTGTAAATTCAAACCGAAAAACAATGGCTTCCGAAGACAATAGCAAACGCGAACGCGAATTGATTAGAAAACGCGCTGCGTTTAAAACCAAAGTGACCACGTTTACACGGTCATTAAAATCATTTAGTGATATCACGCTAGGAGATGTAAGTCATTTAAAAAATCGTCTCGAAAAATTAGTAGGTGATTATGAAGCCTTTAATCTCGTTCAAGATGAACTGGAAACAATTGCGTCGGACGATATGTTCGAAACTCGGCTCGCGGAACGTGCGGAGTTCGACGAAAAACATCATAAAATCGCTAGAAAGGTTCAAAACATTATCGCGATGTCAGATCAAGTGAACCAACCGCAGAGAGAGCAAGACAACCCATCGGTAACCTCACGCCCTAATATAGCAGCAAACCCGGTCGAAATAGCTTCGAGTCCCTCATGGGCTGTCCCCTCAGAGGTACGCGTAAAATTGCCGACAATGGACTTACCGAAATTCAGCGGTTCCTACGAGACATGGCCTGACTTTTGTGACGCGTTCAAATCCGCAATTCACGATAACCCCAATTTTCGAGATTCTCAAAAGTTCATCTATTTACGATCCTGCCTCACAGGCAAGGCAGCCGAAAAAATAGAGTCATTATCGACTACCGCAGCCAATTATCTAGTTGCATGGGACCTGCTCGAAAGGTTATATAACGACCCAACCGCAATCATTTACAATCGGGTAAAGGCACTTTTTGAATTACCGACCTGCACAAGGGTCAGTGCAACGTCTAGCAAACACTATCGCGCTCTTCAGGCGACGAACCATCAATTTTTAGAAGCATTTCCAATTTACGCAGTCGTATCGAAATTAGATGTTTAAACGCGCTTACGTTGGAAAGAAAGAATTTAAGGGAACCCTTTCCCCACTATGGATGAATTATTAGAATATTTGCGGGTACGTCACAAGGTACTAGAAAATTCATAGTTTGACCGGACTTTCGACAGATCGGATAGACCACAACCAAATAAACGCACGATAGAGACCAATCGATCCACATTTGCTTGCCCAACGTCTAAACTAGCGTGCCATATATGTAAGGAACCACACTATACGTATCAATGCTCCAAACTAACTAAGGTAGCAGTAGAACAAAGATACGAAGTCGTAAAACAGTCAGGATTGTGCGGCAACTGTTTACGGACTAATCACACAGCCAAACAATGCATTGCTGGTACCTGTAAGCAGTGTAAGGCAAAACACCATACACTGCTACACAGAGAAACGAATACAAATCAGCAAACAGATCGAGCCAATGTAGTGTCGTTCACAACAACCACACCATTCGAAGTGATTCTATCCACCGCGATTGTAGAAGTCTTAGATAAAAATAATAAACCTCGACCGTGTCGAGTCTTGCTAGATTCTGGGTCGCAGTCTAACTTTTTAACCGAAAGCTTTGCAACAAAACTAGGACTAAAACGAGACCATATAGAAATTCCAGTAGTTGGTATTAACCAAACAATTTCACAAATACATCACATGGTGAAATCGCGTATCAAATCACTCATTAATACATTTAGCACCGAATTAGCATTTTTAATCTTGCCGCAAATTACAGAAATTCTACCGTCCCACGCAATCCCAAAACAACAATTGCAGCTACCCGCTAACCTTCCGTTAGCCGACCCTGATATCTGATGCTGTCTGAATCTAATGAGTATGGAAAATAGATCGTCCTGAACAACAGGACCGATCTCTTGAGTATCATTTAAAGAATATCCGGAACTGGTTTTCGCGGATGCGTCAAATACAACGCGCATCTTGGTCGTTGTGCTTGCTGCCTTTGTCACCGCATGGTGTGGCAGGTAATAGGCAGGACCGGCCTGCGTTCGAGAGTCCCGACTTACCTGAGTCATATGACCCAGTGCGAGGTATTCGCTCATAAAAGACACGTATTCTGCTTTCAGAATAGGTGTTCTGTTCAATTTTCTTTCCAAGCCGAAGAACCTACGCTCCGCCATGGAATATGAATCGCCGAGCTTTGCCAGGTCCGAGTTAAACGGAATCGTAACAATAAACCGGCCGTCGGAGTCTCGCTTTACCGTCTCATTAAAATGCTCCTCGCACGGGTGAGCTGGAAGGTGACCGAGTGTTGGGATTTGTTCGATATCCCAAAATCGAGTTAATTGTGAATTTAATTGATCATTCGTGACTACATTGCACGACTGCGACTCCGCGTTGAGCGACGCCCGAATTTTCCCACCGAAAACCCATCCGAACTGGGATTTGAGCAATACCGGAAGACCCTGTCCCAGGCGTTTCTGCCCTACGCTCATTATCTCCCACAAATGCCCATTCCCTATTAGCATGTCTACATCACGCGGTTTGTCAAAGGATGGATCTGCTAATCTGACATTTGCAGGGATGTTCAATGCTGATTTGGCGATTTTAAAATTGGGAATATCGGAAGTGATCTTTTGCATCAGTATGCATGACATCGTAGTTGAATATCCGTTTTGCCGCGATTGTATTGTAACGCGAGCCTTACCCTGAGCGCGTTTACCTGCGTCCGCGGCCCCTACCCCCGAGATCGCTAATTGGGTCGGTTTACAACTCAAGCCGACAAATTTCGCAAATGACTCTTTTATGATATTTACTTGCGAGCCTTGGTCGAGTAACGCCCTACATTCAAATTTTTGTCCCTTGTCGTTGAGGACATGTATAATAGCCGTGGATAAAAGAACATGCTCTTTTCCCGACGAGTCATGAGTTGCATAACTCTGAGGGGGCGTATTATTTACTACATTTGCTATACTAACGACGGGATCTGCAACCACAGGATCTACGGTAGGCGTCGAGTCATTTTTTAAATGAATCAACGTATGATGGTTGCCGTTGCATTTGTGGCAACTCCCCTTGTTGCAGGTGTTTGACCCATGACCTGGTCGCAGGCAATTAAAACAAATACGGAATTCTTTGACCTTCATAAACCGAGCGTACGGAGTCAAAGCTTTAAACCGTTTGCATTGTATGAGAGGATGATCCGACGAACATAATGGGCATTCTAAACTTTGCGTGCTAACCAGCGTCATGGGGTGAGGTTGCGGTTTCTGACCTGGGTTCCTATTTTTCGGAGGGAACGGACCCGGAGGTATTACTCGAACTGACTTTATTAGGATTTTGTACTGCTTTTCGAGACATGTCTGTAAATCTGCCAACGTTTTCGTACGGCCTATTTCCGCGACCCGTTTATCCCACGCTTCGCTCGTTTTCCGGTCGAGTTTGGTCGCTAATAAATGGACCAAGATCGTGTCCCATTTTTCGACGGGTTCCTCCAGCGAGGTTAAGGATTTTAAATTGTTGTTAAAGTCGTCTAAAAGTTGCCTCAGACTCGCCGGTGAGTCCTTTGGCAACGTCGGCAAGTCGAACAATGCACCGACGTGGAAATCGATTAATTCATTTGTGTCTTCGTAACGCTCGCACAAGAGCTTCCACGCGGCCGTGTAGTTTTCATCTGACATCGGTAATGCTTTCAATGCCCGAGCAGCGTCTCCCTTTACTGCTGATCTCAAATAGTGAAACCGTTCGATATTGCTTAACACGGTATTTTGGTTTAGCAATGATTCGAAGCTGTCTCGAAAATAGACCCATTCTCCGACCGTCCCGTGAAAACTGGGCAACGGAACTGACGGTAATCTAACCGAGGGTGCCGCTACGGAGGCTGTGGGTGATGCAGCATCTACACGAAACGTCTGTTGCGCGGTAGAGCTCGGATTCGGAACCGGAGCACGCTTAGCCGAAACATGTTCGCGAACCGCGCCTATGATATCGAAATACGCGTTTTCGAACGCCTCGCGAATTTGATTTTGCGTGTGTTCTTCCGGTGTCCCGGCGGTGATCGCATCGATGCGATCCTGAATCGACTCAAATCTATCGAGTAAATGGAGATTTCTGTGCAACCGTTCCTCCAATGCAGCAGCCCCGGTGGTTGCTCGCTGCGTCTCAAAACATGTCTTAAATCGCGTGAGCGACGATTTAACGCGACCGCGTTCCTCGACTAACTTATTCAAAATATCCTCTCGTGGGGTGGCCATTGTTCAGCGCAAAATGAGAAGTAAATGAAAACTCGACTCACCGGACGTAGACAAGAATCTGCACAGGACTCGCTTAGACGGCCTCTGCAATTCTCCAGGAATCGGTGGTCCTGTTGTCGTGCCCTTGGACTGCTCCTTGGTGAGCTGGACTCGTAGAAGCGTCTGTCACTTCCTGGTCCACTGGATGAAGCGGCTGTCGCCTCCTTGGTAGCTGAATGAAGCGTCTGTCGCCTCGTAGGTTGCTGAATGAAGCGCCTGTCGCCTCGTAGGTATACTGCCACACTGGCAGTTATCCTCTCTCGTTCACGAACGTGATGGGTCACACGATACGGCGACTGTCCCCGTATCACACTCTTTGCAATCGAGTGTACTCTCAATCCACGATCCGGCTCGAAGGACCAATGTTCGCGCCCGAATTCTTGCTGGTCGGATTGGAGTGAATGCGATGTCGTCGTGTTGGAGAGTTTTCAAATGGTTTATTTTTAACAATAACAAAGTGGACTGTATGATATGTTTTCAAGCGCGTTGAACTGTGGGAGGAACTGTTTCCCCCGCGCTTACTTTAACAAAATGCGTTCAACTCAAGTAAAACTGCTGTACTGTTACAGACTTGTTAGTTAGACTTATTCGGTTAACGACTGAACCGAGAATTGAAACTGGTTTGTCGGTTGACGACTGAAACTAGAATGCAAATGTGTCCGGAGTCCGTTTCCTCCTCAGCTTAGATCCCCTCCAAGAGGTACACTTGGGGGTGTTTTGCAAATTCCTCTGTGGAATCGTGAGTCGATTGATTGGCCATCGACTTGGGAGAGGAGGACCCATTTTCCTGCCCCAGTTTGGTAGCAAACTCCTCCTTCACCTCGGTGGTGGAGGAAAGTCCCAGGCCACGCTGGCGAGGGTGGCCGAGGTTTCCTCCCCAAGTCGACGGCCGCGTTAATTTATCGAGGAAGAAACGGAACTCCGGATTATCCACGCAACAAGGGGTTGCGTCTGGTCTACGTCTGTTTTTATGGCTATATTGTTCCGCGTGTCGGCGATGGCCGTTGTCGTCGGTGCCTACATTTGGCCTCGACGACCGTACTACCCGCGGAACAATATAGCCCTTCGCTGGTCAACTCGAGTGTCGCGTTTCTTTCGTTTTCCAAAATGCTATTCTTTTACATTGACATTTGCCAGATGCGAGAGACTCGAAGACGTTTGCAACGTAGTACCGATCACGCATCTGGCAACATAAAGGACCGGAAACAACTCGAGTTGGCCAGCGGAATGAGCGAGCTTTCGTTTACCGAACAAAAACCGTTCAACGGGAAGAATTCGCAAGGGAAATTAACTCACTGTTATCAAAAACCCCAATCATGAATTCTTTGACACCATTAAACCCGTTTATCGACAAAGACGGGATATTACGAGTAGGTGGTAGGTTATCCCATGCAACGCTACCATATAATTCCAAACACCCGATCCTCGTACCAAAGAATCATTCGGTAACTAGAGCGATCGTACGTGATGAGCATTTGAGAAATTTCCACGCAGGTACGTTGGCTACCTTCAAATCCCTGCGACAAAAATACTGGATACCGAGCGGAAAACCCTTAGTAAAACAAATCATACACAAATGCATTACCTGTCACAATGCCAAACCAGCGATACCAACCTTATAATGGGCAATTTACCGAAGGGTCGTCTTATTCAGGCAAGACCGTTTTTACATACAGGGATCGATTACTGTGGTCCCCTCTTCATTAAAGAAAAGGTTAACAGAAATAGAAATAAAATAAAGGTATATTTAGCCATATTCGTCTGTCTCTCAACCAAGGCCATCCATATTGAAATCGTCAATGATTTAACCACCGAAGCCTTTTTAGCAATCTTACGTGGATTTTTCTCGAGAAGGGGTAAATGCTCCGATCTCTATTCGGGCAACGCAACAACGTTCATAGGTGCGAAGCGGGAAATTAAAGAATTATATTTGATATCTCCACGTTCACCACATTTTGGTGGATTGTGGGAAGCAGCAGTAAAATCCATCAAACATCACATAGTTCGCATAATCGGCGATACCCTATTGTCTTACGAAGCCTTGTTGACATATATCAATCAAATCGAAGCAATCCTTAATTCTAGACCAATCACACCTCTATCCTCTGATCCAAATGACTTGCGAGCCCTAATAAGTAGTTGAGTAAGGAGAGTTCTGAGCCATGGTCCCAGGGAGGGTGCGGGGGAGAGGGGAATCGTGGGCCAGGGGGGGAGTGGGGGTGGGGGCCCGCGCGTTGAGATGGTGGTCCGCCGGGGTGAGGGGTGGGGGGAGGGGCCGCGTGCCTGGGGTGAGTGCTCGGTAATTAGTATCAACGGTCGGGGTAATTATTTACTTTAGTGATTCCTCACCGATTTCGATGACCTTGAAATATGTTGTCAAGATCACTGTTATGAACATTTTTTCTATATACATGTTACCGCCGCTCGGCCTTAGTTTCCGAGATTTTTCGCCAAAAAGATCGCTCCCACTACAATGAATTCCGTCTATACGTATGTGCCTGTGGCAGCGTGTGTGTAAGCGTTGAATCGCCGATTGTTTATTGTTTCTATAGATACATCGAGGCGGCCGGCAATGGATGCGTATAACGGGTGTGCTTAAAAACTCGATTTGAGTAAGCCGGTATAAGAAAATCTAACCCAGACCTAACCCAAACCTAACTATTCTACCTAGTAACTAATATAATGAATTAGGTCTGGGTTAGATCATTTTATACCGGCCGCCGTAAGGCGGCCGGCCACGCATTCATTTACTATTTCAATTTTCTTTATTAATATTATCCGAATTTTTCCAATTTCTGTTAATAATAACGATAATAGTAATTATAGTAAAGAATAATGTATAATATTTTATCTCCAACTCAACCAGAGGCTAATTCAGACATAAAATTATTTTTGCAAATATCTCGAAAACAAAGGGCGAGCGGCGGTAACATGTATAAAGAAAAAGTATTCATAACAGTGACCTTGACAACATATTTCAAGGTCATCGAAATCGGTGGGGAATCACTAAAGTAAATAATTACCGCTATTTTTTTATTAAAGTGATATATTTAATCTTTTATTACAATTCAGTGAGAGTATAAATTATGTAATTACAAAATTAGATATATTTTTTATTTAATTATTAATAGCATCGTATAACATATTATCCACTGCAAATGTCAACAGCTCGCAATCCGCAGGAGAATTTTTATCATAATATTCACGAAGGATTTTGACGGCCTCATGTTTATGCGCAATACTGTTCCGTTTTAATATAGTTACAAATTGTTTATATTTCTCGCTGACATAGTGCGTATTTTGACACAGCCACGAATACGCGTGCTCGACACACTGTTCCAGTTCGAATAAAAATAATAGAGTCGATGGTTTCATATACATGCAGGCATCATACAATTTCATTTGCACAAGGTTCATGCCACGCATTGTAACAACCGTAAGCACCAAATCACAAATTGTTAATGACGTTGGAGAAGGAGCTGATTGTACATGTTGTTCGATATCCTCGCGTTTCTGGATCAATGTCGTCCATGTCGAGTGTGGCAACAACAACGCATTTCCTCGAGTATCGCCAAGAATAATTTCCACAGCGGACACAGGTCCTACGACGATTCTAATATCCAGATACTTGTATGCCGTGGATGTGAGGGCAAACCTCCTCCCCAGTATATGAGGCGTCGAACGTTGTTTATTGCTATAGTAACATATAGAAAAAGTATGTAAAGAATGAAAGGTAAGTAATAACGCCAAGGAAATGATGATAATAACACTTACTCGCGACTTATGCACGCCGTTTCGCGAGAAATGTAGTAATTCATGTTTGTAGAATCCAATAGATAACGTTTCACGACGACGGCGACGACGATACTATCAAAACGAGTGTGCAGCACATAAAAAAATGCAACGATGCATCAAGGGAAGCGAGGTGCGGGGAGAGGAATTTTTATGTCACGTGTTCTTCTGCGAAAAGTGCAACTTTTGCAAAAGCGTTTTAGATTACCTTAAACACGTCCAAACGTGCAAATTCTATGACATCACATTCGCGGTACGATTCGACCGAAATCATGTGTATCATGGAAGCGGGTGGTGCATAGTGCGGGGGAGAGGAATTTTTATGTCACGTGTTCTTCTTCTTCTGAAAAGTGCAATGTTTGCAAATACCTTTATATTACCATGAACACGTGCAAAAATGCAACCTCAGCAGAACGTATAACATTGACGAGCATTATGGGCGTGGGAAAAGAAATTAGATGCCTTTAAAATATGATATATTTATTAAAGCAACAAATGATTATAAAACATTACTTTTATGGATCCATGAATTGTGCGAGTTATTGAGTCCTAGCCATTTTACGTACACACTGTTCCCCTTCTTACGTAATACTTTTTCAACCAGATACACGTCGGAATTAGCAACTCGTTGCAACTCGTGTTCGTAGAATCCTCCGGCAATTGGTTTTTCATAAGCATCTTTCAGCAGATACGTTGCAGGATTAGTTTTCTGTACCTCGGCGATTGTAAATATTTCAGTGCTCCAATTCGGTGTGTAACCTTTTTCAAAAATTGTCTTAAATTTGCTCACGCGTACCGCATCTCCCACTTTGAATCGTGCGGGAGCGGCAATCTTTACATGACTATACACCGTTGTTAAGAGCTTAGCGGCGTTTGTTGGTGTAACGTCAATTGGTCGCATACCAATAGTTCGATGCTTTCGCGCGTTGTACTTTGATACGAGATGTTGAATCGAGTCGATCCATTTGTAATTTCCATTAAGGGTAAACATTTTCCACATGTTGTTTTTGAGCGTACGATTAAACCGCTCAACGACTGATGCTTTCATCACTGAATACGTTGAATAATGATTTATGTTGTATTTTGACAAAAGTTTTTGCACATTTGCGTTGTAAAATTCCTTTCCTTTGTCGGTCTGCAAATTTTTCGGATACCTTCCGCCGTCTCGGATTATCTTCCCGATCGCAGTAGAAACCTCAGTTCCATTCTTGGTTTTGAGGGGTATAGCCCACGCATGCTTACTCAGCACATCGATAACAGTGAGTATGTAATGGAAGCCTCTGTTATACCGCGTGTAAGGACGCATCTCGACCACGTCCGCTTGCCATAGATCGTCGTATCCATGTACTATGACGCGTCTTCGGGGAAAATGTCTTCTCGCCGGAGCATGCAATTCTTCCACAAGACGCCGTTTCTCAATACTGGGGGTTTTCTTTTTCTCAGCCATGTATGACTCGCCACTGATGCCAAGACTTGGCATACACGTCTTATTAAACATCAAATCGACCTTCAAACGCCCCAACGTCCGCCAACGTCCCCAACGTCCCAACGTCCCCAACGTCCCAACGTCCCCAACGTCCAGCTATTGATGTATTTGATTTCGGAATTCGATAATACCCCTCTCCAATTGATTCAGCTGGTCTTTCAAGCTCTGAACGTAATCTTGAAATATGATCATCTTCTTGTCGAATTCATCTTGCCGATTTTTTATAATTGCCATGTTTTCTTGCAAGTACAGCTTGTTGATAGCATCGCCATCCTCTACAGGTGGTGCTACCCGTCGAATCTTGCGAGACTTTGCATCGTAATTGGCACCAGCAACACAAAGAGCATTGTCACGTACATAGTTTCTGACTACTCCATTCCAGCGATAGTATGATTCCACTGTTCCAAACGATGACCCAAACTTGTTGATTGGCATTTTGATATCGATTGACAGCATCGTCAAAAGTGCAGGCTAATTTATAATGAGTTCTGCCTCGCGAAGCTCCTCGATAATCGATAACATCTCATTGTTATGTGCATTGTGACCGGCTTGACGCGAAGCCTCGAGCAGTCGAAGCCGATCTACGAGTTCGTTGGGATCGTTCCAGTGAACATAATCAATCCTGTTGCTAGTTAATCTCATGGAGCTTGGTATGCCCTTTCCAACTTTTTTATCTTTCAATAATGGCTTGATTACATAGTTATACTTGTATCCTTTATTGCCTAATGTTTTACCATACGAATCATGTTTGTACTTATGCGCACTCGTGGTCAGCAGTATCTCCCTATATTTGCGTTCATCAGCCTCAGTATAAATGTTGTCATCTGGAATTTTCTAAAATATCAATTCATAAAGGCCGGGCGTACCAGAATATCGCATGCCATCGATAATTATGTTATCGGCATTGTCCACGTCAACACGTTTATTACCAAGCATCGGTCCATCACTGTCGAGATAAACACCGTACACGTGATCCATACCATCCTCCACATCACCGCGTAATACAGGCGCGATGTATTTTTGACTCAGTGGACCTAGGTGATTCCGCAACGTTTCTTCACCTTCCGACGTTTGCAACCGACTTCGAACAGACGTCGAGAAACTGCTTTTTGGACTTTCAAAAACATCTTCGTTTGCTAAGCTTTTTGGACTATCAAAAACATCTTCGTTTGCTAAGCTTCTTGTTGCTGGTACTGGCTTAATCGGTATAGAGGCCATCGGATTTATATCGGGTAAACTGCTTAATCTTGCTGAGCTTTTTATTGTTGGTACTGTCCTAATCGATGTAGAGACCGGTGTAGAGGTCATCGGATTCACGTCGAGTAAACTGCTTAATCTAGGTTTTTTTATTTGTGATGGTTTTGGAAGATTTAGCCATAAATGTGATCGTGTTTTATCCGATTCCTTGATATTTGGCGTGAACAATGGCTCGCTTCCGATATCTGTATTATTGTGTACATATTAATTTTTTAACGTGTTGTTGGCAATTGCCTTCAGCGGCTCAGTAACAGGCTTAAAGTGTTTTTCCAGTGCAATCTCTTCCTCCATTTTACCAGTTTTCAATTCACGATACTTTCTACGAATCAAATCGCTCGTTCTTGCAATCTGTTTCGCTATCCTTTCACGATCTTCAATATTGCTGCTGCTGCTGCTCATGTTGGAACACTGCTTTGTCAACGTATAGGAAGTAACTGGACATGTTACGATATTGCAAAGTCATTAAATCCTTTTCTATAGCGACCATTCCATAATGCACTGTCTTTGTCAATCACTACAAATCCATATTTTTCTTGCCAGCAGGCGGTACACAATGTGCAGAAATTCTCAAATGACATGTCAGTGTTTACATGATCGTTGTACACATGTTTCAGATTAGTACCATCTTGTTTGAACATGATCAGCAGGTTCGCGTTGTCGCGTATCAGATGCTTCGGTATCTTCGCGTATGTCTGACAAAGATAGAAACAGTTGTAGCGACTTCGTCGCCACTACGCCTCCGCCGAAAAACGGTAATTTTTAGTTTCTTTTGTAAGGGCTTGTACGGGCCCGGTCAGGGTCGATGGGCGCACATGGCGACCACCGGTGCAAGCCTGGGTTTTTCCAGCGGCCAGGAAACTCATCGACGCTGGCCACGCGGCCGAAACATTTTTCCCGCCGAATTCGGCGTCGTTTTTGTGAGAGTCGGAGATACGCGCTGTCCTTTTCCGAGACCGGGTATAAAACCCCGGTAGGACAGAGGGCACGAGACAGTCCGTACTTGAAAACATCATCGCGTGCTTCGCACCTCACCTACGCGGTTCTCTATCTCACGTTTTGTTGTACAAAATCAGAATAAAACACTTGTACTCCCGCAATCAAAAAAGTAGGTGGATTGAGTTTATCATTACGATCCTCTCCGATACCGAACCCCCCACAAACTGGCGACCCCGACGTGATCGTCGACGCGGGAGTGAACATTTTTGGTGCGAAGTGAAAATTTTTAACGTAACAATATTAGTGACTTTTTCCAGTGACACTCGAGCGTGCCGGTGCTAGTGTAAGTTTAATATTAGTGGCTTTTAGAAACTGATGAAATGAGAGTAAATTTAGCTTGTGTGTATATCGTCATCGTGTGAGATGCCGCGCGAACGACGCGCGAAATAATCGATAAACAATGGACGGTGGATGTTGAGCGCGGAAGCGGACACGCCGCTTCCAGTACCGCGCTCAGCAAAAAAACCTCGAACAGAGGAAAAAACGCAACAAAGCGAGATTTATGCCAGGGAAGAACATCGACGTTAGGCACTCAAGAACCACACGTGCGTGCCAGTACTCAGCCCTGGCATAAATCTCCAAAACTCGAAACTAGCTCCTAACTCCTCAAGGATAAGGCATTGTAACATTACGTGCAGGCCTAAACAAAGGCACGGCCAAGTGGTGTTTATGACAGGGGCTGGGTCCGTCTGCAGCGTGCTGGCCAAAAATCCGGCATCTGCAGGCCAGCCCAGACCTCTGCATAAACTTGGCCACAGTTTCTCCAACGACGACGGCAACGACGACCAGGAAAGCAGGAACGCTACGATCGAAGGCAACACTCCCACGCGACACGCACCCCCTTCTAAGGGCATCGCGTAAGGGAGAGTTGGAAGGGAGGAGACTGATTGGAGTCTTGAAAAGGCCCAGCGCGGAGAAAAACGGGGACTTGGTTCTGAAAAATCATCAGCTACGAACACATCTTCGACCATCAGCATTGTAAACCTAAAAATAACTTGAACCACATAAGTAAATCTTGTACATAGTCAAACTCTCAAATCAATCATTCTCTAACTCCTCCAGCCGGAATAAGTAAATTATTTCGGAAAGACGCGAGCCCGACGTTGAGTGCCGATCGTTTACTCAACGGATACCGCGAGCCGCAACAGTGGAAATCGACGATGGGTTTTTGTTACGGGAGCACGCCGTACGGCAGTTCTATTCTCTAAGCCAGTGGTCTATGTTCGGTGGTATTATTAATGTGAGAAATGTCCTATGTTAAATAAATAAAACAACAATCGGGAGACGACATTGGATCATTATTTCAACAGAAACAATTACATTAGCGCGAGAAAATGCCGACGAGCA